GAAAGCGAGTGAAAATATCTTGATAACTGAATAATGATACTATGAAGTCTATAAATAAAAACTGTCAAAAATAATATGACGGAATACACAATATCCCCGAAACATGGTGTAAGATCATAAAAAAGGCTTTGGAAATACATTGAGGAATGTTTAATGATAATTTGTATTCATATAACTAAAAAGACTTTACCAAAAATTTCTGTAAAGATCTTTTGCAAATGAAATACGCAAAAAAGTCGCCTGAATTCAGGCAGGCAACTGCTTCTAATTTGCGAGAAGCAGATGATTTACTGTACATATTTATCACCTTTTTGTTTTAAAGTAAAATCATTATCTGAGACGTCATTTTCTTCCACAAGAAGACATTTCATCGTCACTTCAAATAATTTTTTGGAGAGAACAAAAAAAAAAAAAAAAATAAACAGAATTAGCTTCCACAGATTTGTACGTAAAAACGAAAACTCAAATTGATTGAAGAAAGGTTGCGTTCACTGGAAGGAAACTATGTACATAGCTGTGCGTTTTTTGCCTTTTTTTTTTTTTTTGTTATAGATAAAGAAACGAATGTAAATTAACATTAGGAAATTAGCTTTCAGTATATGCTGTCTCGACTTGTCTTTTTCTACTTATCTTTTTCTTCGATTTTCTTAGCGAGGGAGTTTTCTTAATAGATTCGTCGGCTGCTTCTGTTTTTCAGTTTTCCACTGATGGTTGTTTAATCGACATAAGCAATACACGCACACACACACACACACACACACACATATATATATATATATATATATATATATATATATATATATATATTATAGGATTGGTTTATACGGAATAAATTCCAATAACCAACAAATACTATTCTTAAAAGAGTGCTCAATACAGAGTAGAGCAAATACAAATGTCTTATCAAGTGATGGTGTTGATCAACGCCATCACTTGATAAGACACCAGAAGTGTTGAAACAAAATGGCTATTTTGTACTGATTTTATAACATATTTATGTTATAATTTTCGAATAAATAATTATATATATATATATATATATATATATATATATATATGGAGGGTATTGATAGATGTTTCATTAAAAACGACAAACAACGACTGTATGTTTTGATGAATATATCTGTATTCATAAAAATTTACCAATTGCATGGCTGAAGGTCCGCGATCAGAAATATATGGCTGAACGGCAGTACGAACAGGAAGCGGCAGGCGAAGGGGGTCAAGCGCCACAGCAAGAAACCAATGGCAACAGCAAGTAATAAATAAGAACATTAAGGTTAAAGCTACTAGTTCAAGTTTCGGAATTGTTCCACGGATCAATAAAAAGTGGATTAAAGTATCTCTTCGTGACTATGTGGGTATACTACTTGTGTGTTCAGTCCCTAATATATACATACCTATATACCGACACACACACTCAGATAGATACATAGACAGATAGATAGATAGTTTTGATAAACATATCCTACTGCTTAAAATATTAATTTGTCGGTATCCATATTTGAGTAGTCGCTCCGTTTTTTGTTTAAACAGTGTGAATTTTGTCTATCAGCTTCTGCATTCAAGAATCTTACTAAAGTAAATGTGATCTCCGGCACACAAACAAACACACACACACATATATATATATATAATATCAGTGATCAATATATATATATATATATATATATATGTGTGTGTGTGTGTGTGTGTGTGTTTGTGTGTGTGTGTATAAATTTAAAAGTGAACATTGGCGTCAACACTTAGATGCGACAGTCTGTTTTATGCTAGATACAATCGTTAGGACTAAAACAGTCTGTCGTCTCTAAGTGTTGACTTCAATATTCACTTTTATATTTACACGCTCTCTATGATGTTGAGCAATTTATCCCATAAATATAGCACCCTTAAGACTATATTTCTTCATATTGCATATATATATATATATATATATATATATATATATATATATATATATATATATATATATAATCTATGCGCCTTTTGACTAATATTTATTATCTACATTTTGCCGCAATTTTTACTCAGGCCGTCTATGTGACAGGTCTGTAATCAATAGTAGCAATTTAGTAAAACATAATTAAGATGAAAATAAGTACTCATCAAAAATAGTAATGATGTCTGACAATGTTTCATTTCATACAAAATAGGAGTTGACGAAAACAATGCTCCTTGATTTAACATAGGATAATGCCATAAAAAGCAATTAAAATGAATATAAGTGCAAATGCTAGACTAAATTAGTAAAAGAAGTTGATAGACATTACTTTATCTAATAAAAAGGAACCGAAATTCATCAGATATTAATAATACTGAAATTGCTTCATCTAATCAAAATAAAATTAAAAACTAGACGAAAGTAAATACTAGTCAAAATTTATAATAATGACTGACATTTTATCTAAAAAATTGACGAAAAATTAACACGGAAATAATTATTAGTCCAAATAGATGACATTACTTCAGTAATAAATAAAGAAAAAGTTAAGGTGAAAATAAATACTCGTCAAAATGAATAATAATGTTGACACTTTTTCATCAAATAAAATGGCCGACATTGATTCATCTAATAAAAAAAGAAAATGAAAACCCTGATAAGAGTAAAGAGTAGGCAAAATGAAAAATAATGATTGATATTGCTTTATTTGATAAAAATAAGTTATCTTCAAAGTCAATAGTAAGTAAAGTCTATATATAAAACAGAGGATGTCTGTCTGTCTTTCTGTGTTATACCTTTTCACCTGAAATCCGTCCAACCGATTTTGAACAAACTTGGCACATTCATTGTACTATGTAAGAGATAGGTTCTTAGTGTAAAAGAATCGATAATTTTTTATAAAAATCAATAATCGATAAAGCCGATCAAAAATCGATAAATTCAACTTTTTCCTCTGATTTCGAAAAAAAACTCGGTATGTAGGTTACTTACATCATGATAAGCTCAACGATATCTCATTTTTATTTCTATGCCACTGAGTTTAGCGAAAACCCCGAAAAACGAAAAATCAATTGCAACACAAATTGATTTCAACACAAATATTAAACTAAAAATTCCCTCAATTATCAAGCAATCTAATAGAAACTTCACTCCATTGTAGCCAACAAGAAGTTGATTGTTTAACAGTCATTTAAGTCGATAATTAAGTCCGCCCATATTGTGAAAACTACGTAAATATGGTAAAATGGTAATTTTTACCGGTTTCTTTCTTATTGTTCGTTAATCTTTCAAGCAATTTTAACAAAAACTCCAAAATAATTGTGGTCTGAAGTGGCTCTTCATGTTGCCTGTTTTACCCCTTCATGTCCTCGGCTAACATCGATTGAGTAAATAGAAACTACTTCTGTTATATCAGTAACTGCATTAATTCAAAATGTTTTTAATGAAAGTACTTTAAAGTAATTGAAGAAGATAGACTCTGTTACATCTAAACATGATGCTGATTTTGCTCCATTCTAATTGAACCCTTTTTCTGATCGACCAGCTGCATATGGCTACTAGTATAAAATAGAACTGCTGTATATTGGAATTTAATAAGGCACTAGTTTGACGTTTAATATAATTTAGTAAAATACCGTACGGCGGGATGATTGTTCTTTTGCTTAATCGTTTACACGTCTAATTGAACGCTCCAAAGATATAAACAAAGTTAGAAACATTCTCCATAACATTCCTCCAGTTACCGAAATTTCAAGATTTCCAAATATTGTTGTATCTACATTAACATCACAATGATTATTTGCAGTCCTTAAACAATGAATTTAATCGACGTCATTTATTCATTTGTAGGTCTTCACAGATATTAACTCTTTATAAAAGATAATAGATTAACATTGTGTGTGTTTGTGTGTGTGTGCTTTTTTAAAGCTTTTCACCCCAAGCAAGGCAGGAAGCCACTAGCACGCAAGGGGTTACAGAGAATTGGAGCGAGAACAAAGAACATTATATTTGAATAGTTGGAGATTATAGCTATCAGGGAAACAGGAAGAGGGGAGAGAGTTCCACAGGCGAGAAGTACATGAAGCTATTGGAGTAGAAGAGACAGTTACATTTAACAGTTTCGACAGTGAAAGAGTGAGAGCGAGATGCCAGCCCAATAGAACGCTTAAATTCATGAAGTTTGGTAACCAGCGAAAGCAGCTCCTCGGAGTATTTGATATAATCAATATATCGGAATTTAACCCTAATAAATAAAAAAAAAACTATATTTAAAAAAAAAGATCGTTCTTTTAATCATCAAAATTGTTCACAATTCTTATAAAAAGCTATTTTCACAAGTAAATGTACCTTCAAGAAATAAACAAAAATATAGTTGTAATCTCAGTCGCAAAACGATGTTGTTTCCGATTTTCAGTCCATATAATCAGTTTTCTTCCTTTCCTATCGTAGGCAAATTACAAAGGAACAATCGGTAGGAAATTCAGGTTTTCGTGAGGGTGGGAAAATTAAATTGATTTTCTTATTTCTTTTCTATTTTGTTTTTTTTTCTCTCCTCACATTTTGTTTCGGTTTGGGTATTGTTGAGGATGTACATACGCCTTTCTTGAGATTTAAAAAAAAATTTTCTATCTCTGAAATGAAATTTCTAAAAACATCTCTGTCGTTTTCCGTCAGTTGTCGCTCTCCTCTCTAAACATCGACGTTTCACAAAGTCCCACCTACCTTTGCAAAGTTTGAATTGTTTTCTTTAAAGTACTTCTGTTCATAAATGGTAGAAAAGGTTTATTTCAAAAAGCTTAAAACAGAAAAAAAACATGTTTTATTGTTTGTTACTTAGGTGGTTTGATAGAATGGGATTTTCTTTTTCTGAAATATTATTTTAAACCTACAGATTCACACTCTCTTTGCAAGTGAATTCCGTTTATTATCACCACTAAAATTCTATGAACAGAAACAACCTAGCTTTTCCCCCATAAACAAATTCCCAACTGACTCCTCAAATTCGTAAATAGATTCTTTAACACTCTTCTGCTTGTAAATACCAAAACTTTTATCTCATAGAAAGCTCAGGAAAATATTACAAAAAGAAATCTAGTTCAGTTACTAAAAATTGTTTTCTGCTGTTTTTTGACTCACATTCGATTGTCACAAGATTTTTTAGAAACCTATTAAAATATTTCATTTGTTTTCTTCTTCAATCTTCAGGCGAAAGTTTTATTAAATCGTCTCTAAGGTTCATAAACATTTATCGGGAATAGGCGGCCTGACATAAAATTGTTACATTCATTCCCAGATATAAGTCTCCCTTTGTGAGATAAATGCAAAAGTCAAATGTCGGTCTTTTAAATTTTAACAACACTACACTGAAACTGCAAACGAACTTGAACATAATCAAGACTCAAATGATCTGGAAAATAAACACAACAAATGTCCATGAACATAACAAAAACTCAAATGCGTGTTTCGATCCCTACACTCTTGTGCAAATTAATTGAGGACGCAAGGTGTGACGTCGAAATCCGAAGTCTCATTGGAATAGAGAAAGATGCCTTTCAAAAGCAAAGAAAAGTATTAAGGAGTAATAAAAAAGAGTACTGAACTGTTACGTAATATCAGTACTACAACCTTGAGCAAATTAATTGAAACAACCACTTTAGTTTCATTTTTTCACCATACGTTCAGTTTTAGTCCCAACGGAGTGACAGGGTGTAATCGATTTCTATTTTTTCCTCAGATTCGGTCATTTGCAGTTCCGTGCAATAATATGAAACACTTTTTGAGGTGTATGATGAAATTTGTTTGTCCTTGAAAAATATTGCGTCATCCAGGGTTGCAACGGATTTTCATCACGATCAGACACTATTGCCTCGATTATCGATTAGTTGTTCTACGACCATTGACTACAATGGACGTTACTCCAAGGAATCGTACGAAAGTAGTAACGCACTGGTAAGACTTACCAGTGAGCAAATCAAAGTATTATCGACTGGCTCGGAAATTCTCCTGGTTTAAATCTAATCGAGAATCCTGGTCAATCTGCAAGGAACGAAATACTAACATGTTCTCTGGGTCATCTTTCATTGGAGAAAAAGTAAATAATAACGGAATTATTCGTTTTGTTTCATTTAATTTGCAAAATGGTGTATGAGTGACAATGCTTCAAAGGTATCTCCATGTTACTAACAAATAAGAGTTTATGTACTAAATATACTGTTCTAGTAATGAACATTAGTTGAAATCGCTTTGTATGCTTTTCGTACTATTATATTTCAACATCATTTTTGATGAACAAACTAAAAACTTGTGCTTAAAATATATGCGAAAGGGGGAAAAAATGAAAAGAAAACATTTTTTTCTGGTAATTGTATATCTTAATGGATGTTTCACCGTATTTTACCAAAAGTGTGTTAAAGCTACTTATTTCAGTATCGTCTGCAATTTGAAAGAAATTTTAACAGCAACAAAACAAAGACGATATTGTTGAATCATTCGACGTCTTCTTTTGTCAAATATTTATAGAATTTTTTTTTAGGATACTATTATTAGATAACTCTTTCATTGTTTCTTCGTAATATCTCTTTGAGGAAATTTGATGTGGTCAGTATTAGTCCCCTCGTTCATATGGTAAAGATTTTGTTTGCTTAACTTGCACACACGCACGCACAAGCACAAACACACACACACGCACATAAACACACATACGCAGATAGATAGATAGATAGATAGATAGATAGATAGATAGATAGATAGATAGATTGTTTTGTCTGTGTGTTCGTGCATGTTCGGATATAGTTATTTATTTATAAAGGTAAAAGACAATAGGAAAACTGTCGTCGGCTAATAATACAGTTTTCCTATTGTCTTTTACGTTTATAAATATTGTATTTTTCTACAGGTTAACCCTGAGAAATCTTTCATAGTTATTTATGCAATGCTTTATATGACGCTTAGATATAATATCAAAATTGATTTAGTATTGCTTTTACACTTAATATTGCTTTTTTTTTTGTCAGAAAATAGATTGAGACACGTCCGATCTAGACATGAAAATATATTCAAAAATACAATTCACACAACGTAATCAATATTAAAGCGCTCATATACAAACTTGGGAAAGAAACAAAGGATAAAGCGGTTTGCGTTTTCAGAAAGGAACAAATTTAAACTCGTTATACGCTAGCATGGAATACCGAAATGTTCGTGTATAATACGCACTTTTCCTAATTTTTCAGCTTAAAATATGTGCGTGAGAATTATATAAGAAAAATATGTTCACTATTTTCCGGCTACGTGCAGATATATCTCTCTTACGTAATGATGTAATAAATATGAATACACCTGAGTTCCTCCTCACAGTAATATAATTGACTGGTGTCAGCCATAAATACAGACTGAGGTAGAGGTACAGCGACGCCTATTGTCTTCGCCTATAGCCTACGCCTATTGCCTACCTCTACGACGAGGACCAGTCCATTACGGTTACCTGCTAGATTCTCCTACTTGGTTACAGTAGTGGGCATATCACGTAACAATACATTTTATTTAACATGGGACTTCAGCAATTACTATCGATTAGCGCGCGCGCGTGTGTGTGTGCGTGCGCGCGCGCGTGTGTGTGCGCGCGCACCCTCTTTCAAACGCAAGCTTTATATTCTTTTTTGTGACGTCTAAGAGACTGCTCTTACGGCGTCTCGGATCTGCGTATATGTATTTATCTGCCAAACGGTCCCCCCTACACGACATATCAGACGCAACTGAAGTCGATCACTTGATTTGTCCTCGGCTACAAGGATTTTGTCTAATCAACCCTGCACATGGCTTCTCTGAACTTCTCTAAGTGCAAAGTCTATTCCGGAACGATCTCGGATGAGAGCCAGACTACAGTAAGCTATATCTATGGTCCAAACCAACCAATGTGTAAGAAATATTTTAAACCACTAACCAAACAGCATTCGAAAATATTATTCATATATATCATCATCAGGTCGAGAATTCTTCCCGGATTCTCTTGACTCGTTCCTTCCAACCATCTCTGACAGACATCGCTGTCGGCAGTTCCTGCAGATGACATCCAGAGTCATCAACAAGTTGATAGGTGTGATTAGATCTTCCAACCGATCTTTTGCCACGCAATGGGTTCCATAGGATGGTGCTACTCTAAAGTTCTGACATTTCTCCAGAAGTTCTCTTCTTGTTGTTCTTGTAACGGCATTCACCCGGGGTGGGTTGAACCGGCTACAATATTGGAGTTTCATGGGAATTTGGAATTCACAAGCGGTCCCCAAACCCGCATGTATAGCACATGAGATTTGATTATAGTGGTGAAAGTTTCGTGCAGGACCATCCACAAGGGCCGAATACAGAGACCTGGTGCACGACGTGCCACAAGGTCCCCAAACGTCCCTCCGCAGGTTTTGAATTCAGAGTTTTCCTTCTCCTAGACCAGTTGCCATCCAATGCTATAGAACCCAGTCTGTGCTGCTATTTACCCATAGTTGGAGGGAGAAGAGGATTCACACCTTTTCCAGGGGTATTAGCACGTAAGTGAATGTAATGAATTCGAGTGGAATCCGAACTCGGCTCTCCGATTCCTCAATCCAAGCCGCTATCCATTACTCCACCGTGTCTCCAGAAGTGACCAGCTAGCCGAAGCCTTCTCTCTCTCTCTCTCTCAGTGAAATTGAGATAGGATAAAGTTATCCGTACAGGTATTTCTTTGTTGGGTGTTTCTTTGTTGGATGTTTCTTCCAGGTGATGTTCAATGCAACATCCTTGTGTATGTTTCGTCAAGTGATGCTTCTTGGTGTTTCGTCAGTGTCCATGTTGTTGAGTCGTAGAGCAAAACAGACTCTACTGTGGCCTTAAAGAAGTCCATCTTAATTGTCAGAGAGGAAGGACTTCCAGATGGCGCTCAGACCATCAAAGACCCTCCAGGCCTTGCCTTTGTGGATTCTGATGTCTCTCTCCATTGACTGGACGTTGCTGGCGAGGCAAACAAATTCCTTTTTTTTAAGCATTTCACCCAAAACAAGGCGGGATGCCACTAGTACGCAAAGGCTACAGAGTAGGAGTAAGGCGTGATGGAGGAAAGGATGAAGAAAATGACAGGAGATAGGTCAGGGCGTCTTGATATGTCGACTGACATTACATTTAAATAGTTGGAGATTATAGCTATCAGGGAAACAAGTAATAACAAGGGAATTTCCACAGACGGGAGGTGCGAGATATGAAGCTATTGGATCAGAAGAGACGGCCGCATTTAACCGACAGACAAAAGGGTGGGACCATGATGCCAGCCTAGTTGCACGTTTAAATTCATGCAGTTTGGGAATTAGCAAAAGTAGCTCTTCGGAGCAGTTACCGTGAAAGCATTTGTAGAAAAGACAGGGGAAGGCGACGGCACCTTTGTGAGAGAACGACTGTAGACGAGATGCCAGATCAGGACCAACCACATTGCATATCCGTCTCTGGATCATGTCGAGGACCTTAAGGTAGAATAGACGGGTTTGATGTTGTTGCCGTTTTTCAAATTAATTTTTCCTTCTCAGTTGTAGCTGATAAATACTGTTTTGCCAGCATTAATGTAAAGATCAGTCTTGCTGTGCGCTTCTTTGATGAGATGGAGATGTTTGGCTCCCTTATCAATCGTGTCTGACAACAAGGCAAGGTCATATATGTAATCTACAATTCACGTATATATTAAGAGTGTTTTAATTTCCTTCACGAATGACCGTGTCAAAAATCGACGTCACCTTCAAATATGTCGTCAGTGTAGTTTTTGTCTTTGATGTTGTCGTCGTTCACAGAGTCATCTTAACCTTCTTCCCATAAAAGGGATGCTAGTAATAGCTACGTTTTTTGTTTTACGCCGCTACAGAAGCACTAGACCTAGGAATATGTTTTGGTTACAAAATTGTTTCTACAAGTCAGATCTTATTTTCAATAAAAATCTGTTGCATTTTTGTATGAACGTGACTGTCCTTTGCTTTAAATTTGGAGTAAAAGTTATATATTTAGAATGATAGAAACTATATAAATTCCGATTTTTAGTCTATCCGAACCAGGTAAAAAGTTGAAAAGTTTTTTTTTTCTTAATTTAAGTTAATTTAGGTAATAGAGTTATTTTCCACTATCTCGTTGCAAGGAGAAGAAGGAAGTGCATTATACACGAGTAAGCATTATACACGATCGCATTATACACGAGTAATCATTATACACGAGTAAGCATTATACACGAATAAACATTATACACGAGCGCATTATACACGAGCAAGCATTATACATGAGCGCATTATACACGAGTAAGCATTATACACGAGTAAGCATTATACATGAGTAATCATTATACACGAGTAAGCATTATACACAAGCGTATTATACACGAGTAAGCGTTATACACAAGTAAGCATTATACACGAGTAAGCATTATACATGAGTAATCATTATACACGAGTAAGCATTATACACAAGCGTATTATACACGAGTAAGCGTTATACACAAGTAAGCATTATACACGAGTAAGCATTATACACAAGCGTATTATACACGAGTAAGCGTTATACATAAGCATTATACACGAGTAAGCATTATACACGAGCGCATTATGCACGAGTAAGCATTATACACGAGCGCATTATACACGAGTAAGCATTATACACGAGCACATTATACACGAGTAAGCCAGTGGAATTGGCGAACTGAGTTCAGAGCTCCGCTTAGTCTGTTGTGTTCACTTGAGTACTACTAACATTGGAAAAGGCAATGAAATCTCTCTTCTCCCCTGACCATCTCGCAGCGTAGACGGCACTTTCTATTCTTTGTTGGTATCGAAAGTAGAGAAAGCAACGAGGAACAAATCCACTATCCCAGGAAGTGATATCAATTCACAGATTATAAAGAGGAATCTGTAGTGAGCCATGTTAGCCAACATGGAATTAAAAACCTAAGTTAAGAATATTGAACGGTGACGTTATATCTACCCTTCTGTTTCAAACTTAGAAACCACCCACGTTACCTCCGTATTCCATCGAACAGCTACCACCCGCGAACCACTGCTCCGTGGAACCGACTCCCAAGAAGATATTTCCCCGATCACTACGATGTTAACCTTTTCAAATCTAGGCTTAATCTTCCCGTATAATCCGTATAAACTGCTTTCTAACTTAACCGTCTAACTTGAGGGTGAAACGTAATGTAAAAAAATGATAATTACAAGTCAGTTTTTTGAACAGGACTATTTTGCTCCACGCGAATAAAAGTTTGTGTCAACCATTGAATCGTTTTTGTGAATTTAATATTTTAAAGTTCCAGGAAATATATATTGAATAGTTTTTAGGGAAGAGTGTTTTGACGCACCATTATCTTTTCCCATGATCGGGTCTGGTCATGAGGTTAATACACAGCCTAGCACCTGACCAGCTACCTCCACATATCTAGTTTGAAAGTCGAAAATGTATTCATTCAAATTGGGCAAATAAACTTGGAGATACCCATCCCTCTCCAGGTCAGTTCACAGCCGATGTTCTTAAACCTGTAGGCTTATGTCTGCGTTACGGGATTCCAGTAACACTCAGAGAATAAAAGTCACGCTAACAAGGTATACATTTCTAAAGGTAAGAAAAAGGACTTTTTATCTAAAATATGTACAAATTTCAACACTTGATTTGTATATTGAGCCTGGCAAAAAGGGCAAAAGTTACTAGACTAATAAAAAAAAAATATAATGCAAACGTTACTGAATAAGGCTGCATTTTCGTACGTCAAAATTCATTGCTAAAATATTTACTTTAAGATGTTAGAGAATGAACGTTTTTACCACACCAACAACGCAAGTAGCAAGTCGCTAAAGCCGAAACCCAAAAGACACGGTAGATAGAATCTGTGTAGATATAAATGGAGGTAATAATTTTAGTTTTCCTGTGAACTCATGCATTTTAAAAGCGACGAGTAATTTCTACATTTCTCTTGTATCTGAAACTGCCAAGTTGTTTGGTTTACTATCAGGCCCGTTGAATTGTCTTCTGTTCGCACCTACTGTCAATCTGCACATTACTTTTTTCTGCTTTTCTTCTTTCCTGTAACACGTACACACAGGTACGCCATGTTTTATCTCTATTAACATTTCAACTCATGTTAGTCTTTCTCTTTCTTTTTATCCTATTTTTGTCTTTCACTTAGAGTTGTTCTTCTGTATACATCTCTATCAATAAACTTCTTTTACCCACTCTTTCTGATAGTACTTTTCTTTTCCCATCCTTTTTTTACGTTATCTCTCGCTTTTTCTCTCTCTCTTTCTCTTTCACACAAACACACACACACACTCTCTCTCTGCGTTTTTATTTCCTTTTCTCTTCTCTATTTTCCTTCCGCCTCTTTTAAGCCCTTTGTATATACCTTTCTTTCTTTCTTTCTTTCTTTCTTTCTTTCTTTCTTTCTTTCCTGCACTTTCACTATGCCCCCTCTTTTTTCAATACCGATTTCCCTCTTTTACGCCCTTTATCTCTTTTTCTTTCTCAGCCCGTTCATCCACCCACTCTTTCGACTTTTCACTCTCTTTCC